TGTGAATATATTAATAAGTTGACATTGAAAGTAAAAAACAAATATAATTTAACTTACAACTACTTCAACGGCAGTGATTTCTTCATTAAATTGAATTAAATCCTCCTCAGTTTGAATTGTAAAATTTTCCAATTGAAACAGCTGACTACATGACTACAGCTGATTACCTCTTGCTTTAGAATGACTGCATTCGCAGCACATTGGTCAATTAATCGTTCTTGACGCAGTAGCTTCTACATAATACAAAACAAAAATTACAATTATCATTTTAAATATATTTACTTAATTTTGCATATACTTACAGTGAGTTTATGTGAAATTACAAATTATATTTTATTTATATTTTTGTTTTTTATTTGATTTTAAAAATTAAAAATTGTTCACTGTTCGCACTTCACTAAAATCAAAAGCAGACTAAATGTATACAATGTAGGCAAAACAAGAAATTCTTAACTCATATGCTTTTCTTCTTCATTCTTTTATAATTTCAACCCCGAAATTGCCTATGTCAAACACAAATGTCGAAAACAAAGAAAAATAAAAACGAAGAGCTATTACCTCCTCGCTTACTTTTTCAGCGCTGGCATAATGGTGCCGCTGGGTAACTGCCTAGCATGTGTGTGTTGAGTGGGTATATCGCGCATTTGTGTTAGCGTTGACGAACAGTATTTGTTTTTGACTTTTTTCACTCCAACATAAACTATGTTGTTGGTGTGTATGTATGTAAATTATTGTGGTTGTGTTCCTTTGCCGCTGCTGCTTGTATTTGCGCTTGGCAAGTGGATTTAAATTAATGTTGTTATAGTTTGTTTGTTTGTTTTTGTCGTGCTTAATGTCAATGCACACTCAGATTCTCAACCATAACAGTACAGTACAGTACGTATTGCAGCATTTAATAACATGTATTAGCTTCGTGTATGTACACACATACAAGTATACCATAAAAGTCTACATATGCTGCTATGTTAATGCAACATTTTTACTTTGCATTCGTAAGACGCCAAAAATAAAAAAAAAAGCAGAGTTTACACATAGCATTAGGCAAATATGCTGCAAGCTGCATTTTAGTACCGCAAAATTACTATGCTTTTTTGTAGTTTTTTTTTGTGCGTTGAATATTTTTATTTTTCAATTTTTTATTTTTTTAATGCTTAAAAGTAAGGTTTCTGTTGGAAAGTAGTTACGCTTGGTTTACACAAATAATTAGTTGCATGCCTTTTTCTGAATTAAAATATATATCGGATGATAATTTTTCTAAACTTCTAAGAGTTTTTCTAAATGTTTACTATTAAATTTAATAATGATTAATTCTATTTAATTGCTTATTTTGAAAAGTTAATAAGAGAAAATAAGTGAAAAGTAAATAACAGCGTCAAAGAGTCCGGTAGTCCCTGAGCTCAGTATGAGTGCATGAGTAATTCATGGAAACAACACTAGGTGTATGCAGTCATTGGCAAATCGTGATACTAGTATCAAGATTAAATATGCATTCACACGATATGTTAATTTTCAATTGTTTTACCTACACTTACGTGAATATATAGTGCATTGCAATATAAGCAAAATAGACATACTAGTCTTTACTTTTTTACTGTTATTTATGTGTTATTTTATAATTTCAAATGATAATGAGAAAAGTATGTATATTAGATAATATATGCTCGTGAGGTTTCACAAGGAGAATACGGTACGGATGTATAAGGCGTAGCAGAAACTTTAAAAGCGCTGAATAATCGCAAAGATAAAAATAAATAAAAATCTGTTACTGAGACCTATACTCTTCAATTGATTTAAAAGTCATTAACACATGTAATAAATTAGTAACAAATAAATCTGGATTAATATAAATTAAATTATGCCGTATTTATTAATTGGGGGATAATTTACGATAGCGTTCTCAAGAAGTTTAAGAAGCTTATCCTAATTGGGTATATTAATTTAAGCTCTAAAGAAAGTTAAATTTTTATTTTAGTTAATTATTTACTTTTCTATTCAGGAACTTAAATTCAAGTAAGATATACTAAGTATTTCACTTTTCTCCAACACAGCTGCATATCAACTATTAAAATGTAAGTCTAATATTCTTAAGAGATTGAATATAACATAATTCTTTAACAATAAGTCCACAATAATATGTATGGCGAAGGTTTACAAAACGATCCGTTCTGCACAACTTTAGTATAAACTAATTTTTGCAAGGATACAAATATTTCGCTAAAGTAAACCTTTCAAAAGTACCTCACTACAGTGTTTTTTAAAGCCACAAACAAAAAACAAAAGTATCTCAAGATAAAGTGATACTGCAAATCATAAGTTTTACTTGAGCGTATATAGTAAGCCCTAATAGGTAGCTACATTTTTTTCAGGAAATAAACAGAATGTTGCCGATATTAATTAAGCTTTTAAATATTATTAAAAATTAATTAATAAAATTAACCTATTTCATAACGCAGGCAAAATAGTATGTTACGTTTCAAAAAATAAATTTCAAAGTACTTAATAAAAGCATTTAAATGGTTCATAACAGCATTATAGTGATATAATGATAAAAATTTTTTATATAAGTATGGAGTAAGTTATTTTAGGGTGTTGCTTCAGTGCAGTGCTGTACTTGGTTGATACACATAACTTGGTTTGCTTTGTTTTTGTTATTATATTACATATCTCTACTAGGTCAAGATAAATTGATGATTCTTAATTCAACTTACTAAGAAATGCAGCTCAATTTTCTATAGTTTTGGAATTATTCGTATTTATATTAAAGTAATTTAGTGCTGTTTAGTGACTGTTCAAGTAAAGATGAATAGTTCAGCAACTGATTTATTTAGTTAACATTTGTATAATGTAGTTTGGATCCCACTGTATGTTGATCCAAAGAATATTTAAAATTCCAAAATAAATACAAATAAATGAAAATTCTCTGTGCATACTTTATTTTAAGACCAATAAATAAGGGATATGCACATCATTACATGATTTAATGTATGATATTTTAAAACGCCACAAACTCTGCTTTAATTTCGTAACCCAGAAAAGTGGATGCTCTCATATTCCTTGCTGTCCAAATACATCATTTTATGATTTAGTGATGTTTGTATATTTGTGATATGCATTAGCTTGTTTGCTCAATGCTGCAACTCAATTTTCTTTATTGAAATTACACAATTTGATGAATTTTGAAAATGGAAAACTTAAACACATATATGAGAACTCGACTCTAAATAAGCAATTCAAAATGTTATAAAAAAATCCATAATGCATTAAATTTAAATTTGTGTGGTATACTTTGTGAGATACTTAAACATAAGAGATTAAAGTTATAATACTAAAAATACACTTATTTTTGTTAAAAGAAAATTTTTATTGAAGTTATTTTAAATAATTAATATTGGCAGTGAACTCAAAGTGTATTGTCGGAACTTTTGAAGATGACACGGTAATAATGGCGACAGGTCCAAAAAACAAGGTGTCTACCACCAAGCTACAAATCGCTCTTCAAGAAATTGAAGAATGGGCAAATAAATGGAAATTGACAGTAAAAAGTTCAAAATCTAACCACTTAGACTTCACTTACAAAAGAGATAATCAAATTCTATTATTTCTAAATAGCGTTAAAATTCCAGTGGCTAATTTTGCAAAATATTTGGGTGTAAGCCTAGATGCCAAGCTGCAATGAAAATAATTAACTAAGCTAAATATTAGATATAAAAAGTTAATTTGGCTTATTGGAAGGAGATCTAAAGTATCTCAGCAAATTAAACTTATGATCTACCAACAAGTCTTCAAGCCAGTACGGTTCTATAGTGTTCAAATTTGGGGTTGTGCAAAAAAAAATTTAATAGATATGATACAAAGGTTCCAAAACAAAGCACTCAGAGATGCAGTTAACGCTCCGTGGTAGGTGCGAAATGCTGATCTACTTCTCGACCTTGAAATACCTACTCTCAACCAAGAAATATAGAAGACTGCTACAACACATTATGACAGGCTGAGTCAACAATTAAATAGGACTATGTCGCTTTAAACCAAATTACCTTTTGAGGTGCTTTAACCAGCAGGGAGATGACTAGCTAAGATCTATGTATTCACCTTAGATAAGTAACATTACTAGTATTATTAATTAAAAAACCTTTTGTTAGGCAATATGACTAATTGTTGTTAATTTATACTCTACACTTTGTTTAAATAACATAGAAAAAAATTTATATTTAATATATGTATAAAAAATTGGGTAGTATAACACTGTAACTGTAACTGATGATTCTTGTGGTATAGCACAATATAGATCTTATTATATGCATATATGTCAACATATGGCAATTGAGGTCCTTAAATAGTTCCTTTTTAACTTTTTATTGCAATAATTCTCTATTGTTATTAACATTTAGCGAGCACTACAATTTTACAATCCAAATATGGGTTAGATTGAATACATTAGTTGTTAATGAACTGGGTCCACTTTTATGTATACTTATTACTTGTAGTAGGCACAGGGGCAAATATAATAAGTCGAGTTTGTTCGAACCGTAGAACAAGAACGGTATGAAACACTGCTCGGATATATATTAGCGCCTTAGCATGAAATTGATATAACTCAACGAATTAACATCCAGCGGCTGCACTGGTTTGACTTGGTCATGTCGTGAGAAAGGAGGAAGATTCTTCAGCAAAAAACGTATTTCGTAAAGATAGTTCGTGTCTCCGGTGGTGTGTTCGAGTTGATGGAGCCCTACCCGGACTTGATGTACGAGAATGAAGAAAGCGTGCATGCAGCAGAGCGTCAGGCCAAAACCCGATAACGGGTTATTATAGCCAAATAAGTAAGTGAGTAAGATTTATATAAGTTAGTTGCTTGAAATCGTGGAGACTAGTTTTCATAATCCTGGGTTGAAGTCCTTTTTCTTTACATTTATTATTTTTAGAAGTGGTGATAATGTATATTAAATATCTTAATAATTTCTAATAGTAAAATATCTTTAAAATTTAAAAAATACACTTACCCAATGACAATTTTTCTCCCGAATCCGGTGGTAGTGTGAAGCCTAATAATGCCATCGATGCAATCAATACGCACGGAATAATCAAATTAAAAAAATAATACAATGTCCGTCGTCTTATGATGATAGCGAAGGTGATATCAATGTAAGGCTCGGGGCAGCAATTATAATAAATTTCATTACGTTTACCAGGAACACCTGCAGGCGATACATTTCATATGTGAAACACAAAGGATTTCGATTAGTTTCCAATTGAAAGGAATTTATTAATTTATTTAAGTATCTTTGTTGACTTATAAATTTACATATTTACACATATATATTTGTTTGTAGAAAAAACTATGTAAGTTAAATTATATGCTCTGTTTCATTATTATATATGTTAATATTTATATGCAAATATAGGTAGAGAGTATACGAGTATGTATTTGCTTTGCAGATACATATAAAGCAGAGTATGTAAAGTATCTAAGTCTTTGCATATAACATTGCATTTATATGATTTATGTAAAACTTAAAATTAATAATAAAAATATTTTATTGTAAGAAAAAGTTATGAGTAAGTAAAAAACTATTTATTCAGTATAAATACCACATAAGCCTTTAATATTGTTGTATTGTTATATAGTAAATTAAAAATAAAGTATCAAAAAATATATTATATTATATGCATATATGAAGAGCTGAAATTATATATATAAAGCATATGATAGAAGTATAAAGAGCAATATAGTAGAGAATAGCATAGCAATAGTAGTCTTTAAAATAGTTTGAAAATAGTTTAAAGTGCATGTTATAGATAAAAATATGATTTGTAGTAAATTTTGTAACTATGGTATGTGTTTTGTATCTTAATCTCTAGGGTATGTCAGGTATATACGAGTACAATGCTAAAAGGAATAAGTTTAAATGTTTGTATGAAAAGTGCGCGGTTTGTGTGAAAAGTGCGGAATTATAAATTTAATGTACTATAATTTTATGAAAAAAAAAATATACATTCTTTTTAAGTTTCAAACCATAGAAATAAGTTAAAAAATGAAAAAAAGTGCTCAATTTTATAGACTCATATGATACTTATCAAATACAAGTCCTCTTTATATAAAATAGATCAATTTGGCAAGAGTTTTGTTACTCCAAGCAATAGAAAAATTATACTGAAAACCTCTTTTAAAAATATTATCACTATCAAAAGTACAACAAATTACTTAAAAGCATAACTTCATCGAAAAGCTCACGTCAGACATTGTTTTTTGTTTATATAAAAACGTTTAATTAATTTCTTAATATGCTTATATACCAGTGGGTGTGAAAATTATTTTAATTTCTATTAATTTTTATTGAGTTAGGTTAGGTTAAGAAGGCGTGAGCTAACAATTATCAGCACATCTACTCAGAGACATATATTACCCATTGTGATGCCCACAAAGATTTTGCCGGGAGAGGCAAAATTATTTTCCAATTTTTATTAATTTTTATATATTTTCGATCTCTTTGTGCGCTAAAGATCATCACTGAAAATCTATCACCTATAAATAAAATAATTTTTATAAATATTTGAGATATGATTTCTAAATATATTTATTATCATGCAAAGATATATCCGTGCAAAACTAAATTTTGTTAATATTGATAAATTTTGGATACTCAGTTCTAAAATCAGTGCTCAATAAGAAAGTACTTAAAATCTTCAAGTTCCCAGCGATAAGATCCACTTTTACCTTAATGGTTTTGTAAATAGACGAACTTCAATAATGCAAGAAAGCAATAGACAGACTAATCTGAATTAGTCGATCAGATTATAATATAAAGAAAATTTATGGCAACCTTATAAAGCACCAAATAACCGAGGTACTTAGATTTCTACGTTATATACGTATACTCAAAAAATATTGACGAATTGTTGAAATTCAGTTCCAAAATCAGTACTTAATAAGTAGAGAGTTTCAGTTCTTAGTGACGAGTCCTGCTTTTAGCACAGTGGTTTTGTATATAAGCAAGTTTGTCACATTTGAAGATTTGACAAAAAAGTTGGATATCAAAAAATTTTGATTTTTCCTTAAAATTGTTCGTGTTTTTTCGTATGCAATCGGATTTTTATCGTTTGACAAAATGCATGATTTTCATTCATTTGAAGGGTTTGAAGCGAAAATATCGTTTGCATGCATGATTTTGTAATATATTTGCTGTTTTTTTTTAAAGTCAACTGTTTTAATGTGTAATAGCAAACGATGACAAAAAAGTTTGACAAAAAATTTTGATGTGTAATACGCGCTTAATAACAATATTGGAATTTTTGAAAAAAAAGTTTGATGTAAATCAAATCATTTTGATTTTTTCTTAAAATTACTTGTGTTTTTTCATAAACAAACAGATTTCTGTCGACGCATATACAAAATTTCATTCATTTTAAGTGATGGAAGCGAAAACATTGTTTAAATGCATGCATGATTTTATTTTATAGTATATTTGTTGTGTTTTTTGCTGGGACATGTTCAAAATAATGTTAACTGTAAAATAAAATAAAATGTAAAATACGCGCTTAATAGCACGCGATGACAAAAAAGTTTGACAGAAAAATTTGACAGAAAAGTTTGACAGAAAAATGTCATGTGTACTACACTTTTTATTAGAAATATGCTTTGTCCATCTGTCTCGACTGTTGTTAAAATGTAGTTATCATTTTAAATAGAAATTTAAGCAACCTTTTACTGGTATGTTTTTTTTCTTAATATTTCATTTATTTTTTTTGAAGTAATTTTAAGCTTTCTTGTTTTCTAGTGACCTGTAGATTTCAAAGCACTGGCTTTGTTGGGATGTTATTATTTTTTTTTTGTATCAAATCTCATACCTAATCCATTATTTATTCTAATATGACTGAAGTTTATTTTATTTTAATTAATTTAATTTTGTGAATTCTAATTAAAACAATTTTGTAGAAAAAAGTTCAATATTGTTCATCACATTGTCAAATCGCATATCAAAAAATTTTCCAAATTAATATTGAATGAATTCATTATTATTTAAGCTGGATTTCAACAAATTCAGCAATTATAATTGAAATTATTGATGATTCATTTAGGCTTTTAAACGTAGAATATTATGTTTCTCATAGAACTTGTTGCTGTGTAATTGTTGAGCTAAATGCAATAAATGAAACTAATTAAAAATTCAGTGTATTTAAAATTAATTTACTCATATTAATTTTGCATTGTTTTTGACAATTTTGCAGGACTACACTTTAAAACTGAAGATTGCTATTGAAGTGTATGCATAAATAAGTGAAGTTTCAATGTAATTTAATGAAAAATTGAATGATCCGGTGCAGTCGTTGTGTGTCAGTATCAAATTGTTGCGAACTAATGAATTCCGACATATATGAGTGTTTGCCAATGCCGCTTCCAATACCAATACCAATAGCCATTCTAACGCCAATAACTATTCCTGAACTTACAAAACAAATCCATATACACACGATTTCGCATCCTAACTGAAAATTGAAAATTTATACGAATATTCAATTATAACACTGCAAACCGTTGAAACATTGAATTTTCATTTGCATTGAAAAGTGTGTTTTTGAGCGGTTATTTTTTTTAATATTTTTTTTTCCTTTATATTTTAACATCCTTTTCATCCTTCAACATCCTTTTCATCTATTTTTTTTTGCTGGCATTTGCGAAAATACGTTTTTGCGTATAAATTTATACTGCACTTCTGCGTGTTGGTCGCGGTGGCATTAGTTTGCTGCCCAAATTAAATTCGCATATTAATAAACGCCCAACATATTTCCGAATAATTTTCTATTTTGCCGTATTTCCGCCTCCTGAACTACACTCATATATCACATATCTAAATATCTGTTAGTGTACGTTTAAGCATATATAGATATATATCATACAAACATATATTTTATACAAACATATATTTCATACAGACATATATCGTGTACAGATGTACGCTATATATATGAATAGATATAGTAGAGAAATATATATTGAAGAGAAATTATTCTGTCGGAAGGGTAATGACGTGGGAGCTACTAGCACTTGTGTTGCATGCACTTACATATCAGAAGACAAATTACATTCAACAAAGTTAAAGCCTTGAATTCGCATATTATCCGCACGTATAAGTAACGTCAGTTGTGCAAAAATACGAGTATAACCATAAGCGAAATAGCACCGGCAAGAATAAAAAAAAAATTATTTTTTTAAATAAAATGATTTTAATATTACATATATTTTTATTTGTATACGCCAGACCATATGAGACTCTGCCGGATAACTTAAGTACTACGGACGGACAGACAATTATATGAATGTCTCACTCTACTAGCCTCTGCAACATAGTTCACATACTATATGTACATATATACATGCCTGAAGTTTGCTATAGGAACACTTTCAAAAGAAAATCATGAGACAAATCAACGATTGAAATATATCTAAAATTCAAATACTCAGACATTGATATTAAAGTGATTTATGCATGTGCCAAACAGTTGAGATCCAGTGAATACAAACGGTAAAAAACGCACGGTGCCGCGTTACTGTCGCTTGAGCGGTGAAAGAGATATGCAACATGGAACAGTGATGCACCGTTTAAGCGACTACTTCCGCAGATTTGTGCATTAAATAAAATTTATAATATATAAATATAACAAATATCTATATAATATCCTTCTTTCTCAATCCTATGCTCTTGACACAGCTTGGTGGCGTATTAGAAATGTACATTTTTTGTTTCAGTGCGCAGTGTGTATCATTTCATTTAGCGTTTTTCCAAGAAGAGGTTGTAATTGATCCACCCAACATGTAGGCGACCGTCCTCGTCGTCTGCTTCCGCTTACTTTTCCTTCTCTAACCAGTTGTTTCAGAGTTCCTGATCGTCTTGCTACATTAAATATGAGTTGAAAGTCATTTTCGTAAGCTTGGTCTTTACATTTAATTCTTTGAGTATAGAGACGTTAATTCGGTGGGCAGTCCATGGAATTCTTCACACTATTCTATAGATATACAGTCATCTTCAGTCTTCACAATCTTCTGTTAGTCCAATATTTTTATGATTCAAGTTTCGGCTACATAGGTAACGATAGGAAACAATAAGACGTTTACAAGACGTAGCTTTGAAGATTTTATTATAGTTCTATCTTCTCATATTTTTATAAGTTTTTTATTGCAGATCTTGTCATTCTCATA